ATGGTTCTCTAGTAAAATTTAAGAAGAAGAAGAAAAAAGTAAAGTCTAAATTCTTGAGAAACCAGGTGAGTTTTTAAGGTGATCTATAATTAGAACATCTTAATTAAAGGAAATTTAAAACCATCATTTTGGCCTAATAGACTTTGCCAGTTCTGGCTAGTCATTTAGCTTGGCCCAGTTTTCTATTCCCTAATTTTAGCTACCTGCTGATTTATGTAATTATGTTGGGGTCATGTGATTTTTTTTTTTTTTTTTACCCTTAAGATCAGTGACTTGGCTCCTAAAATAGCTGCACAGTTATGAACTATATGGAAAATCGATTGATTTTCAGAAAAATTCTAGGATCTGTTAGAGCCTGACCTGAAGGTTAAGTTGTCAAGTTGTCTGCATGGATTTCTAAATTTCTAGACAAATACCCTCATATATAGTTCTGTCAACTCAATATCATAAGTAATATAGAAATGTGGAGGCGCCAAGAGAATTGTGATCATTATCACACACTATTCTGGGAGGTAAATTTCATGTTGAAGAAGGTACATGCAGTGATGGGTCCTTTGTCTTCAGCCTCTCATAAAGTATTGGAGTTTTTGCCCTATAATGAACTTTTAATACATTTTCAGATATTATAGAAAGAAACAACAAAGCAAGATGTTCTACCATGATTATAGTCCCTCAGTACAAAGTAGAGGAAAATTTAAACAGTTTTTATCGCTCCAAGTACCAGTTGGAGGAGTGGATTGTATCAGAGCCTTTCAGGAAAACATGACAGACTTCTTGATTCATTTTGCAAGTTACTCGATAAAGGATTTTTGCCAATACCTTAAGAGTGTTTTGACCTGCATCTAGATTCTTTTATCATCTATAGAGTTTCCTTAAATTAATAACTTTTTTTAAGAACCCTTTTAATATCTTAGGAGAATACAAAGAGATCATAAGCTATTATTCTAGGACATAAGATGGCAAATGTGTGCCAAATCTTGTAAGCCCAATTAAGTTGGGTTGTTTGTTGTAGGCCAGTGACCTGGCCTCTTTCCCTGCCTGACTGAAGATGCTGTCTTCTGTGATGACTGTGCAGTACTTACACCCTCGATGTTTAGTTCCTGCTGTCCTCTACGGGTTTCATTCACATTAAACATTTCTAGCAGCCTGTAATCCTTTCCCTTTTCCCTTAAGAACTAAGCTAGTACACTGAGCAAATTCAGAAACTTATTTTTATCCAGGTGTGCCTTGGAGAAGTTCTACATTTTCTGTAACTTTATACATAGAAGCCAAATCCAAATTCGAGTTTTTAGATCAGCTTCGAATGTGAAAATCTGTTATTCCTAGAGTCTGTCTTTTTGAGCTTCCTCTTTACTCTTAGGAATTGTCATTGTGCTTTTGGGGACTGGAAAGTGGGGAAGTGTGAATATCTGATGGATGAATAGATTCTGAAGAAAGGAAGAGTGGCACCACACTGATGACTACACACCACTGGGATTTTACTCATTCCCAGACCTGTTTGCCCTATAATCTGTGTATCCCAGGTTCTAAAGTAGTTCTTTATTAGGATTTTTCTTTTAGTTGAGGTCTTTTGGAATTTTTAGGGCTATGTATTCGCTTGCAGATTATCTATTAGTTATTGCTGACATCAAGGACTTTACCTTGTGGCTGCCTGCTAATCTCTAAGGAGGAGAATACAGACTGAAAAGTGCTGTGTCCTACTCAAGAGGACTCACAGGTTCTCTGACATGCACTGACCCAAATAATTCATCAGATTCTGTTAGTCTTTCTTGGCATCTTTGCATACCACTTATTTCGGACATTCCTTTTGTGGGGATGCAACATGGAATGTGAAAAGAACATGGGTTTTAGACTGCTTCAAATGCACATCCACAATTTATTAACTCTGTGATAATGGACAAGTTACTAAGTTTCCTCGTCAGTAAAATGAGGATGATAAGACTGGCTTTTATGGGGTGATTGTGAGGATTAAAGAATATGTATAAAAAGTTTATAGCATAATTCCTTTATCCCCTTAGCCTTCAAAACCATTCAGTTGCAGAACCCCAAGCCTAAATCACTTTATACTTTTCTCTGCTCTTGCATCCTGGCTGCTAGAAAGCTATGGTCCACGATCTCAGCTGAGACCTTAGTGTTGTCCCCCAGTTCTTTTATGTAATTTTAGTCAGTTTTCTTCCTGTCCTATGCAAAGATCAGAAATTGGTGGATCAGAAGAACTCGGTCCTATAGACATCTTTTGTTTGGCCTTGAGGTAGTTTTTCAAATGTTGGGATTTGTTGTGAGGATTTAAAAATTAGGAGATTTCAAATAAAAGTTAAAATGTCCACAACTTCTTTTGAAAAATTGGATGATTTGAAAACCTGGCATGTCACTGTTTTCTTCCTTAAGACAGACCCATCCAGTTTTCCACATTGTCAACCACACCCTATGGACTTATACTGGTCCATTAGACTCTGTTATGTTGCTCAGTTGATCCTTCAGGGCATTTATTTTATGGTCTTGTCCTGTGGTCCTTTCCTCCTTAAAATCCCTCCAATCTGTCACCTTTTCTCTATATTCAAAGTCGCCCTAATCGTTTTTATTTTATTTTATTTTTAATATTTTTATTGTGAAATCAATAAAAGGAAGGGAGAGGGGGAGAGAGATAAAATATCAGTGATGAGAGAGAATCTGCACGTCCCACACTGGGGTTTGAGCCTGCAAACCAGGCATATGGCCTGACCGGGAATTGAACCATGACCTCCTGGTTCATAGGTTGATGCTCAACCACTCAGCTACACCAGCCTGGCCAGCCCTCATTATTTTTAATCTGGAGTACCAGAATAGTGTCCTAACCCATCTTATCTTTAGTATTGTCCCTCTTGAGTCTGTCTTCCTAGTAGTATCAGATTCATGTTTTCTGAATTGCTAATTGAATCACAGCACTCTCTTGTTTCAAATTCTTCATTGCCTTTCCACTTTGTACTCAGGGAAATTTAAACTTCTTAGCATGTTGTTACAGTTCTGCATGAGCGTGTCAGTACCTCTCCAGCCTCTTAAACTTTCCTCCTGTGGAATATGGGGGAAATAATAGTTCTTACCTATAGAGTTATAGTAAAGATTAAATTAAAATGCGTATAAAGCACCTGGCATAGTACTTGACACTTAGTCAGTGCTCAATAAGCACCACTTATTGGTATTATGATGATACCATGTTTTGTTTTGTTTTTTTCCTGGACCCCAGGCATTCATATTTGCTGTCTCTTGTATCCTGAATGCCTTTTCCCCAATTCTTCCCTAGATTGCAACTCATCCTTGAAGACTCAGCTCATGTGTCATCTCTTTCATGATACACTCCCTGACCCTCCACAATCCCGGGGCACCTGTGCATACCTCTAGTAATGCACTTTTCACAATGTAGTGGTCTCCTTTCTTATTCCTCTCCTCATTTAGATTCTTAAGCCCTTTAAAGATAGGAGCTATCTTACACATCCTTGTATCCCCAATGACCAATGCAGATTGAGGGATCTTAAATGCTTGACCGTCATGAATGATCAGCATCATTCATGGTAGAAGGTACTTGATTACTATTACTGCTGTTATTTTTAGGGAATTTGTTTTTATTTTTTTTAAAATATATTTTATTGATTTTTTTACAGAGAAGAAGGGAGAGGGATAGAGAGTTAGAAGCATCGATGAGAGAGAAACATCGATCAGCTGCCTCCTGCACACACACCCCCTCCCTACTGGGGATGTGCCCGCAACCAAGGTACATGCCCTTGACCGAAATCGAACCTGGGACCCTTCAGTTCGACCCTTCAGTCCGCAGGCTGACGCTCTATCCACCTAGCCAAACCAGTTAGGGCTATTTTTAGGGAATTTAGAAGATGTCATAAAACCTTTTTAATTAACCCATCATTTAAAATTTGTCTTATCTGTGATAACTATTCTTTAGTTATTATGTTTTTCCCCTCAAAACGAAATAACTTTGTTTCTGACTATAAGTGATAAGTGCCTTTGTAGAAAATTGAGAGAAAACTAAAAGTATAGAGAAAACTCACTACTCAGAAATAACTAGTGAAGTGCTTTAAATAGATAGGCTTATATGTGTGCTACTCAGTTTTTAAATTTAAAATCTCACTTATAAATGAATCTTGTTTTAAAAACAGCGTTAGAATATCCAGTTTAATATAATGAAGCCACTACTTTTGTGTTGCACATTGCAAGTAGTTTCTGCCTTAGATAATGAAATTGCCTTCTGCTAAGACAGCATATGCTCTAGAAAAGAAGCCTGAGATCCAGTCTGTCATGTTACCATGTAATTCCCTTCTTTACAGGCCATTCTCTAGGAATGGAGCAATTTAAGTTTGGAGACCTAAAGCTAACAACCTATAAGAAAGGCATTATCATTTGTGGAAGCCGAGGATGCCTTCTTTAGGAGAACTTTTTGTTTATCCCTGGGCTTCTTTCCCATCCCAGGTAGCCACTGACAAATTAGCATGACATTTGGAGGAATACAGCTACCAGATTTTCTTTTCTGTGCATGCCTTCTTTTCCTTCTCTCCTTATATCAGATATCCCATTCCACTCCCCACCTCTCAACCCTATCAAGAATTATTTTACAGAAGAGATGTGTTCTTATGTATCTTTATCCTTTTTGTAGTATATTTTTTTGGTAATCGTCCACTTCCATTTTTGTGACATATCCCTTTCTGGGAAATACTGTTCTACATTCTATAAAGTGAACCTTTGCTACTAAACCCAATTTATATCTCAACTGTCATTCTATAGTGCCAACAGATTTTAACCTACAGTGTGGATAGGCTGCTTGAATGAATGAAATTTGTTGTATTTGGGCTTCATCCTCTCATCCTATTCCTGTCTTTGGGAATAGTTGGAACATGGTCATCATTATGATAAATGTCTTTTATAGACAGTGTTTCTTTCTATTTCTCCAGTTTCTATCAGTTTCCTTCCTGAGTGTTATTTGCTGCCTGCTCTTACTTACTTTTTTATTTTAGATCACAGATTCTGCTGGCCATATTCTGTACTCCAAGGAGGATGCAACCAAGGGGAAATTTGCCTTTACCACTGAAGATTATGACATGTTTGAAGTGTGTTTTGAGAGCAAGGGTAAGTAATCAGTGTGTTTGTCCCTGAATTAAGTATCTTCTCTCAAGTAAGAAAGAGCATGAACTTTCTCTCTTAGGCCAGAAGGAAGAGGAAATGAAAACTACACTTGCTGGGGTGCACACACATATAAGTGAAAGTATCATTCTTCATGTGCAGGAGTAGGCATTTTTTAAATGCTGTGATACACTGGGCTTGAATGAAAAGAGTTTAATTTGGTATAGATGCTAGAAAACATAGTAAGTCATCACTTAATGTTGTTTTGTTTTTTAAAAAAATATATTTTTATTGATTTCAGAGAGGAAGAGAGAGGGAGAGATAGACAAACATCAATGATGATAGAGAACCATTGATAGGCTGCCTCCTGCACGCCCCCTACTGGAGATCAAGCTCACAACCCCAGGCATGTGCCCTTGACTGGAATCAAACCCAGGACCCTTCAGTCCCCAGGCCAACACTCTACCCACTGAGCCAAACCAGCTAGGACTAATGTTGTTGATAGGTTCTGCAACTTTAAGCGAAACGACATATAATGAAACCAGTTTTACCATGGGCTAATTGATATAAACAAGAGTTAGGATCCTATGGCATCTCATCAACATTATCACAAAGTAACATTGAATGGAATGTTATTCAGTATCCTCCAAAGTCCAAAGCAGTTTTGGTCTTCAGAGCACTTGTTATTTTCTAGTCCTAATATCTTGCTATGGAATCTTCTGTGCATCTCAAGACCAAGATCCCATAGTAACCTTTAAGCTGGTTATCTGATGCTTTCTGATTATCAGTGGTGGGTGAAAAGGCAGATTCCCCTTTACTTCCTATTCTTTCACTCTTAAGGACACTAGATTCTAAAAGCTGTCTGTATTTATACTTGTTACATTATTTGGGACCCTTTTGGGCTATAAGATACAAAAAACATAACTCAAACTGGCGTAAAGAGAAAGAAGAGGCCCAGCTGGCATGGCTCAGTGGTTGAGTGCCGACCTGTGAACCAGGAGGTCACGGTTTGATTCCTGGTCAGGGCACATGCCCGGGTTGCGGGCTCGATCCCCAGTATAGGGCATGCAGGAGGCCGCCGATCAATGGTTCTCTCTCATCATTGATGTTTCTATCTCTCTCACCCTCTCCCTTCCTCTCTGAAATCAATAAAAATATATATTTTTAAAAAGAGAGAAAGAAGAGGAAGACCATTTGACTTTCTGAACTGGGAAGTCTTAATGGTGGTGCTGACCTCAGGCTAGGCTGGATATTGGGGTTTTAACAGCATTGTTGGAACTCTACCTTTCCTTTCCTCCATTTGACTTTATTCTCAGGCTTTCTCTGTGTATGGTAGCAAAAGGACTTCTGGCAGTTTCACATTTATAGAATGTTCAGAGTATCCGATCCAAGCAGAAAAGCAAGCACCTTGGCCAATGGCTCTAGTAGAGTCCCAGGAATAGCAGATCAACTTGGTGCTTTTGACAGTTAACCAAGAATTGACTCCTTTGATCTAAAATGGGTCAAGTGAGCCTAAAGGTAAGGGTGTTTGCCTGAAGTAAATGGAATAATAGATTAATAGAAAATTCAATACTTTAATAGCGATTTCATGACTGATATCCTTTTCCCTGCCCCCACCCCTATCAGTTCCAAGATGTTTCAACAATAGTCGAGATATTTCGACATGGTTGTGCTACTCTTACCTCAAAACTAAGATGTCATGAACTTTTAAACTAGTTCCCCTCTCTCATCAGTATTATCACCATCCTTCCAGTTACTTGAGCTCATATTTTTGAAATTATTTTTGTCTTTTCCAGTCTATCATCAAAATGCTGATACTTCTTTCAAAATTTCTTCTGTATCTGTCACCACACAAATCTGAACTCTAATCTTTTAAATGTCATCAGCCTTGTAACTAATACCCCTGTTTTTAATATATCCAAATACTGGTACCAGATTTATCTCCTAAAACATATTTTTCATTATGATAGTCCTTTTTCAAAAGCTTTCCCTTTTCTTTTTCTTTTTTTGGTAAAGAATTGTAAATTTATTAGATCATCTGGAAACCAGATGGGCTGAGCCCCAAAATGGCACCTCCCTTTTTGGTAGTAGCAATAATGTTCCTGATCTGTAGAATGAAACCTGAATCATACAGTTTTTGAGCTGGACCGGACTTTAGGTATCATGGTATTTAATAGTCCTTATACCAGTGGTTCTCAACCTTGGCTGCACATTAGAATCACCTGGGAATCTTTTAAAAATCCTGATTTCTGGGCCTCATCCTCTGGAAATTCTGTTTCTTTGTTACTAATGTTGTGGCCTCACCCCATAACAAAGAAACAATTTCCAGAGGATGAGGCCCAGAAATCAGGATTTTAAAAAGATTCCCATGTGATTCTAATGTGCAGCCAAGGTTGAGAACCACTGCCTTATACTCTCACTCCAGCCTTATCTTCCACTACTCATCAGACCCCCAGCCAGTCTGGTTTGCTCTGCCCTCTAAACATGTCACATTTACTCATTTACTGGAATGCTCTTTTCCCATTTAAGCATGAGTTTAACTTTAGTTCTTTTAGAGTACTTTCCTCAACAGTCTAGCCTTCTTAATTTCTCAGTTGATTCATTTAGCAAATAATTATTAAGTGCCCTATATATTAAGTACTATTCTAGGTGTTAGGGATATAGCAATGAATAAAACGGAAGTCTCTCCTCTCTTGGACATTACATTTTCATTGGAGCAGACAATAAAAATAAATAAAGTCAGGTGGTAATGAGGTCTTTGGAGAAAAAACACTTTGAGACGCTGAGCATGTCTCAGAAATAGCAAAGAGGTTAATGTGGCTTCTTCTAATAGTACATCACTTACTAGTTATTTAGACATTTGAAGATATATATGTAAAATTTAAGTATTTAAATATATACAGGGTGCCCCAAAAAATCTATGCACACTTTGAATGATTGTAAAGTCAGTGTTTAACATATAGTTCATTTTCACAACATTAAAAGAATCTACAGAAATAAGTTTTTTTTGTCAATGCCTGTTTTCAAACTGATGACCGTTCTACAGTCCAGGCACTGCTGATAACATGAAGCAATGGAATCTCAAACATCAAGCATCATTTTGTTTGGTATTTGTGTGTCCTCAATTCATTGACTGTTGCTGGCTCTGTACCATAAACTTTTATCTTTTATGTGTCCCAATTAAAAAAAATTTAATGGCACTTTAGGATAAATTTTCTTTGTTCAAAGCTTAGTCTGGCTTCACCCATTATTTTAAATCAATCAAACCTGAAAAGGAGTGAAAACTAAGTTATCAGCTGTTAAAGCATGTACACATTTATTGGGACATCCTATATATCTGTATAGATATGTGTCTCATGTACATAAACTTGTTTAAAAAGTTTAAAATTAACCCTAACCCTAAACCTAAACCTAACCATTAACCTATTCTAATTCTAACCCTAAACGTTACCCTAATCCTAACACTAAACCTAACCGTAACCCTAAATATATCTTTTGTTCTGAATTTCTTTCTTATATGCTGCTGATGCTGTGCATGCAGATGCCTGGGAACTAATTTTTAAAATATATAATATATACATGCACACACACAGACACATAATAAGCACTCAATTTCTAGTTTACATGTGTTCTCTGTTTATTCTGATATGGAGAACTTGTAGTCTTGGGAACACTTTCTAAAAGGTTGGTTTTTTTCCCAGGAAAATGTAGAGAGAAATAAATGAGTCTTTTTACAATGGAGACCGTTTATGGTCTTGATATCACGCAGTGGTTCTCAACCTTCCTAATGCCGCGACCCTTTAATACAGTCCTCATGTTGTGGTGACCCCCAACCATAAAATTATTTTCGTTGCTACTTCATAACTGTAATTTTGCTACTGTTATGAATCATAATGTAAATATGTGATATGCAGGATGTATTTTCAGGGGTTGCAACCCACAGGTTGAGAACCGCTGATGGGAATTAGGTTGGCTGTTTTGTGCAAGAGATTGTATAGTCTGGACTCAGACCAGCCTGAGTGGCTTTGTGGTTTCACTTGTGTTTGAATAATGCTAATGCTATGCTGTGGCAAAGGAAAGTGGGAAGAGTCTTAGGAAGAGAATATCTTGATCATTTGGACCAGGTAGGACTATGAGCTGCTTGGATTTCACAACTTTTTAAATGAGAAGGAGAAGCAAAAATTTGCATGCATCTCTATGGGCAAGGCTGAAATCAGGATTACACATTGGAGTGGGGAGAAGAGGCTTCTCTGGATGCAGCTTTTTGTTGTTTTGTTTTGGAGACTTACTGGCTTAAATGCTTAGAAGACATCGGTGACTTGTTATCGTTTCCCAATCCTACCTGTTCAGTCTTATTTCTATTGCTTTTAAATTGATGTTTCTAGTCTATCCAAAAGAACTTCTTTATTGTCATTTAAACATGCCCTACTCATTTCAATATCTGAGCCTTTGCCCATGCTTGTCTTCTGCCTAGAATACTTTGTCCTGCCTTCAGGTGCTCCCTCTTCAGTGAGGTCCATCTACAACTAATCTCTTCCCTCCTCTAACCTTTGCTCCATAACTGGGATTATCTGAACCAGTTTGGGTTTTTTCTCTTCAAGTTTTATACTGGTTTGCATTTTCACTGTAACTGTTACTCATGTTCATGTGTTAGATCCCCATCGAATTATTGGAAGGCAAAGACTAGTCTCCAGGACAGTTGTAGCACCCAGTGAGCTCTCAGTGAGTAGTTATTGCATTGACTTCAGCCTGTTTCAGAAAATCTCCAGTGCCTCTCGGGCTGCAGAAGGTACAGTACCATTCTCTGTGGCTTTTGGTCTCAGGAGTCCCAATGCTTATGTGGCCCTGTTTCCCCAAAGTCCTAATTTCATGTAGGCAGTTTTTATTTTATAAATAATCAGGTGAATTCCAGGGGATTGAATTCCAAAGGACTGAGCAATTTTCTGGGGCTGATGAAGTCTCCATTTCTCTTACTTGATGATATAAGATTAGAATTCCTTTTTGATCAAGCCTGATCAGATTACCTTTTTAAATATGAACATGGTTCTGTTGGCCTTACTATACCAAATAGACATTTCTCTTTCTAAGAAGCATCCTGAGAATTGTACTCTTATTATCAAGTTTTTTCTTGGCTCTGTGGGAATAATTCTATAACATTTTGTTCATTTATTGAAATGGCCGTACATTTAACAGAATGTTTAAATTAAAGTGAAATCTTAGATAAATCCTGTGTTCTTTTAAGTACTAGTTTATATTAAGTAAATCCAAGCTTAGTATATGCCCAAAAATCCTTTTCTCAAAATTTGACAGGACAACCTTTTCAGGTGTGGAAATGTATTTTTTCAACCTAAGTTGGTCCCCATTACCTGTTGGTCTATATATGCCACTCTGTTTTATACTATTTTGACTTTTATTTCCTAGCCCAATAAGCCTACGTGTTTTCTCTCCTTCTTTCTATTCCTCTGTAGTTCCAGCTGCAGTATCTGTCCTGCCTGCTTAGAGATGTTTGGCAGCAGCATGTTCTATTTGCTTTCCGGCACCCCGCACAGACAGAGGCTTTGTCTGGAATGCTTGTGATTTTAGCCAGAGCCAGGAATTTTCTGCAGCTGAGTAGGGGGAGGAGTTTGCGGCTGTTTCCCTCTATTGAGGGGGGAGGTTTAGGGAGAGGGAGGCTGGGTGGGTGATTTCCCGGAATTTTAAATATTCCGCACAATGAATCCTTTGATTTCTTTCTCAGGAACAGGGCGGTTACCTGACCAACTCGTGATCCTAGACATGAAGCATGGAGTGGAGGCGAAAAATTATGAAGAGGTATGTCCCACTGTAACAGCCAGAGGAGGCAGTCGTGTGCTGGGCCGTGAGGTTTCTGTGACCTATTCAGGCCAACAGGCTGTGCTTTGACCAGAAGGTTATGGTTTTCTCAGCAGTCATGTGACAGCCAAGCTACAATTTTACTGATACAAAAAGTTGTATTAACAGCCCTAAACAATAAATCTAGCTGTGTCGTCAGCCAAATGACTAACTAAACCAGCTGTCCCATAGCAATGTTGGTGTGATAAACACTCAAGCATATGCCATTAGCACTCTTGAGGCAGCAAATAGATATATATATTTATAATTTTTAAAAGCTGGAATTTATTTAAATGTTAATGTCCAAGGTTAAGAAAAGTGATTTGTTTTTAAAAGCTAAGGCTTTTATTCCCAGACTGACAACTCTATACAGGGTGGGACAAAAGTAGTTGTGCGTACCCGAAACAGAGTTTCTTCTTTATTATTATTTATTTTTAATTTATCTTTATTGTTGAAAGTATTACAGATGTCTCCTTTTCCCCCCACTGACCCTTCCACACTGCCCCGAGTGCCCCCATTATTTATTGATTACTGTATTTTTCATAAAAACTACTGTAAACCTTCTATTGCCTCACCTTATATCTAGGGATGGATTCAGCACTGTTTAGACTTGAGCAACTGTGCTACATTTGAAAAACAACAATAGCCATAAGTAGCTTTTAGGTAAAATTATTTCAGACTAAGGAAGAGAGAAATATGGAAGAAAAAACTGCAAGGGACTAGGAGTAGTGATAATGAGAAATTTTTGCTGACAGAAGTATTATAGAGAATAAAAACTGACATTTATTTGGGTAGTAGGGAAGTAGAGGTGTGTATAAAGCAAGGGGAAGGGGAACCTTTTTCATCTCTATTACGAGAGACTTTGGGGGCAGCACAAAATGGTTCTTCAAATCAAGAGCACCTTTGAAAAACCACAAGAACTATTTAAGAATGGAGGATTGATCTTTACAGTAAGATAAGAGTATTTTTACCCAGATCAGAGTCTTTACAAACAGTATCTGTGGGCATGAAGAAGAGGTGGGGTACAGGAAATATAAATAGCTTTTGAAGAATGTAAACTAAAATAAACAGGCTAAGTTGCTTTAAGTGATTTAAGAGAATTTTCTAGGAGGGATGGAACCAGAAAATTGCTCTAGCTTTCATCAGGATTTGGAACAGAATATCCTAAAATGGAAGAAGATTGGAAGTGACTGATTCTGCAACAGGAAGTAGTAGTACAACAGTTGCAGGTCTTCAGATCTTTTCTCTTTTTCCTAGTTCAAGTGTTCAACTGAACAAAACTAGATCGAGTTATGTGTAGGCGGTAAACAGGAGCAAGTATGCAGTAGTGAATGGAAGACGATTCCCGATAGAGACTTTGATTTGCTTGTTTCTGTCTCTAAGCTAGTTTAGTTAAAAGAAACAAAGCAAGAGAGACTCTTTGATGAACTTAGAGTACAGAGAGACCCCAGTCACTGATTTGCTGCCACCAAGGACTCCCTTTGAGCCTCACCTCGCTTCCTGAAGCTCTGCCCCCACCAGATCCCTCCACCCACCCACCTTTCTATGTGCCAGAGGTAAAGGAATCATCCTATGGTATTATCGAATGTTCGCTAACCAGAACCTACACTCTTTCAATTCCTTTGCTGATGCAAGTAAAGGTGATGATCTGCTTTCTGCCGGCACTGAGGATTATATCCATATAAAAATTTAACAGAGAAGTAGCAGGAAGACCCTTCCTACTGTCCAAGGGATCTCTGATGATTGCAATCAAAAGAAACTAGTGAAGGTGTTTAAGAAGAAATTTGTCTGCAATGGTACTGTAATTGAGCATCCAGAATATGGAGAAGTAATTCAGCTACAAGATGACCAGCGCAAGAACATCCACCAGTTCCTAGTAGAGATCGGTCTGGCTAAAGACCACCAGCTGAAGTTTCATGGGTTTTAAGTGCTCTTGCCTCTCTGAAACTAAAGTGAGGATTTCCTTGCAATGGGTAGAATTTCCCTTCTCTCCCTTGTCACAAGTTAAAAAAAACCTCACAGCTTATATAATGTAACCGTTTGGGGTCTGCTTTTAACTTGGACTAATTTAACTCATACATGCAATAAACTGAAAAGAACCATGCCCAAAAAAAAGTAAAGTGAAAAATCCTTTTAAACTTTCATGATTTAGAAGAATCTTATTTATATTTAAGATTACATATGTTAGAGTGCTGTTGTAAGTTATAAAACAATAATAAAAAGTTATAGTTATTATGAGGTGGAAGAATAGGTAAAATGATTTTCAGGTTTTGGTTATTGCTGCTGTATCCTCAAACTCAGACCATTCTGTAAGCAAGCATTCATTGAATTCCTATGTGGGATTTTATCTCTTGTAACTTCCCCTCTCCCCCCATGGGAAGGCTATCATTAGGTGGTATATATTAAATGGGCCACTTCATTAGACTTACCTTGTTCTCTAAAACAGATGGTATTGTGAGTTTACATATAGAATAATGTAAACTGGCATATATAGAATAATGGACATCACTGGCATATAGCACTTTTGAACCCCTATACCTCCTAGAATTTCCATTATCCTTGGACTTGGTTGACACCGGGAAAGAGCCATTCATTATCTTTCCTGACCTTTTGCGTAACCCAAGAGGGGAATCCCTAGCAGAAAGCAAACCACAGCTCTTCCTTTGCGCCGTTTCCTGATGTGGAAGTCTGGCACGTCCTAAGCTTTTCTTTACGCACATGGTTACAACATAGCTCTAAATTCTGTTTCTTAACCAAAAAAACTCCCACTGCTTTCTTTGGCAACGTCACCGCCGCCCCCCCCCCCCCCCCCCCAAAAAAAAAGGCAGATCAAATTGAGATGGAAGAGGAGAAGTAGTTAGGACACAAGCCAAAGACCAGTCCTTTTCTCAATGTATGGCTAGGCTCCCTTGAACTTTGCTTAGATATAGCTGTTAGTTGTCTCTGGGCTAATGACTGTGACAAGAAAATGGACACTAGAACCACTTGTTCCTTGGTTAATTACCAGGGAGCACTGAGCATGTGTAGAGGTTTTGAGACATTTAATTTTAGGCCCTTGAGATAATGGAGAGGCTTTGTCTCCAGTGGATTTGGGCCCTTTGGCATCAGTATTTATTTTATTTTTTTCAATATGTTTTTATTGATTTCAGAAAGGAAGTGAAGGGGGAGAGAGAGATAGAAACATCAATGATGAGAAAGAATCATTAATCAGTTGCTTCATGCATGTCCCCCACTGGGAATGAGCCCACAGCCTGGTCATGTACCCTGACCAGGAATCAAACCAATGACCTCTTGGTGCATGGGATGACACTAAATCCACTGAGCCACACTAGCTGGGGCTCTCTTCCTTTCTCTCTAAAAATCAATTTTTTAACAAAACATATTTTTGGGTGATGATTTACAAAATAAACCCTGTTTTGCCCATGGGTTCTTTTAGTCATTTGCTATCAACAGATACACCAAAAAAACAGTTTCCCTCATTGGAGCAACAGCTGAAGACTTACTTTCCAGAATGTCTATTTTTCTGAATGCCCTCAGGAAGGAGGAACTCTGGTTCTGTGTATTAGAACCAAAATCCCTTTGTTGATATAAGTTAAATGAAATAACATGGGTAAGGCACCTGACGCATAGTCAATTCAGTAGATTTTAAAAGCTTCCTTCTCCTACCCTTTCTGGAAACTGCCAAATGGCTACGAGAGAGTAAATAAGATCTTAATAAATTTCATTTAGTCCTAAGTTTGGCAGTATTATCTGGACTTATTTTGGCACGTTGACCTTTTCAGCTTCTGTGAAGAGGCCTGTGATTCACATACCCCACATGCAAGTAGACTTGTCCTTGACTGTGATTCTGTCTTCTTTATCTTCATTGTGTTAAACTGGATGCTATTCAAATTTATTGCCGTGCTTCTCAAATTTTCAGTGGCTGTGGTAGTGGATGTGGAGGTAGCAAAGTAATTTGACTGAATTTGGCTTACCACAAGAAGCTTCTCTTTTGAGTCTCGGTGCTCCACCAAGGAAAATAATCCAATGATTCTCTAGACCAGGGTGGGGAACATCCAGCCCTCAGGCCATATAAGACCCACGAAATCATTTGGTCTGGCCCTGCAAGGCATTGGGGGTGAGTTAATTAAATGTTTGACCAAATAGAGCAGGCTAATTTTTAAGATGATAATTTTGTATGGCCCTCGAATGATGTTACAAATATCCAAATGGCCCTTGGCAGAAAAAGGTTCCCCACCCCTGATCTAGAGGCTGGTTTCACATGTGTTTTTATGAAGCAGTTTTTTTAGAGTTAACACCTTTCTTTGGTACAATTGCATATAACTGTACTCTTCAGATTCAAATTATCATTTGAGGAGTGCAAGATTTGGAATGGGTTAAAAAGAGTAGTTTTATAGTTATTTTGGAGGTGTTGTAGATATGTAGGGAAAGACTTTATAACTTGTAACATTTCCAAACACTACCAATGAGTGTGATAGTGAGAGCTTTCTCCTAGACAGTGGGCCTCCTGAAAGTAGATGTAGAGTGCTCAGCATTCAGGAAACGCTTGCTTCAGGGGACCAGCTGCACTTACCTGCTATGAGAAAGTTGGCTCCTTTGAAGAATTCATAGAATGGTCAGAACAGGCAATTTACAAGTGTTTGCCATGTATCAGGTGTGTGGGTCTATACAAAGTATACATTTTAAAAATTTCCTTGAGTTCAGGGCCAAACTAGTGTAGGGGGAAAGGATAAAAATAAAAACAATGTAAATATGACAATGTATGATTGAATCTTAATTGTTTGGCTAGTGTAAGTTCTGTAGGGCTTTAGGGAAGAGGGAATCAGTGTGGACAGGAATGGCTAAAGGAGTCTTCATGATTAAGGTTTGAAAGATAGGTAGGGTTTGAATATACTAAGTGTATATTTTTGCAGGTCAGGGATTTGGTTTTACTTGCATTTTACAGCAGAGCTTTGCAGTTTTGATGCTAAATAAATGCTTTGGTAATCATGGGTAGTAAGTCAAAAGACCATGGATCTGCTAGTCGTAGTCTTCTACCCAAAGGACTTAGTAACTTTGTAATATCTTTAGTTTCCTCATTTGTAAAATGAAGTCCCTTGTACTAATATTTTTTTGATTACTTAACAGCTAGAGCAGCCTGCAAAGGGAATGCTACCCCCTAGTGGAAAACCTATGGTCCACACTGTCAAATAAAATAGGCCTTGCTCTTAGCAAGCTGTTGGCAAAAGACATACCATCCTTCCAGCTGTGGAAGAGAGAAGATACACTAGAAAAATGGTCTGCCTTCATGAAACATGTATAATTTAACATTCCTACAGATATTTTTAACATTAAACAGATTTTTAGAAGAGCACAGAAGTCAGTGGGGATTTTGATAGACGTTTTTTGTTAGCTTGTACTGACTATGATATTAAGTATTGATGATATTCATTGAATGCTTAGTCCTGGGCAAGCAAAGAGGGTTTTTCTGAGAATACTTGTGGTAATTTGTTTTAAAATTTTATTCTCTTAGTCTGTAAAAATTAGAATAACAGCCTGAAACCTAGGAAATTTGACTAATAAACTGGACAACTACCCAGATCCTTGTGACCTAATACAGCTCATTCACTTCACCTTTGATCCAGAAAACACTTAGTGTGGTCATCGGGTTTTCTTCATCAAATTTCAGTGCCTACCGAATACAATGTAAAGTCAGACATGGATTCCAATTTCAGCTCCATGAGGTTCTGAGATCTTGGGAAAGTTATTTAATACTCTGAGCCTTAATTTTTTCATGTGAAAAATTTAAGGATAATAATATTCACCTTGTATAGGGTTATGAGGATTAAGTGAGGTTACACGCTCTAAAATACATATCACATCACATCCTGGGTATATACTAATAGGTTTAATTCATTATGCTACCTTCTTCATCATCTTAGCTCCAACCTAACTTTTGAAACTTATATTTGCTATTACCCACCACCATCTCCTTAGCACATGTGTGTATTAACATGAGTGCATGCATACACATGCACATCCATGCACATTAGACCACTCATGGTCTTTTAAGCATGGCCTACACTTTTCTCCCTCTGTGTTTTGATTTGCAGGTTCCCCTCAGCCTTGAATGTCTTTCCTTCTCATCTTTTTTCAAACTCTACACAACTTGTGAGACCCAACTCCCCACTTCTATTAAGTTTTCCTTTACTCTTTCAGCTATATAATCTCATGCTACTTTATTCCTGTTCCACTTTTAATGTGTGCCTTTGTTGTAGAAGTTAATATGTAATGCCCTATATTACGGTTACAGCTTTTTATGTGAGCCTCTCCACCAGCCTGTGGGCTTCTGAGGAGCAGAGGTCATAATTTAATTGGGTGCCTTGCACACAGTAAGCACTAAAAAAAGCATTGTTGTTAGGGTCTTAAATGTACAAAACCCAAAAAAAAACCCTCTTTATATTTGTTTTGATTTCTAGGTTTAGATTAAGCATACAAATATATATCATTGTTGGATTTTCCTATTGAGTATCCATGTTAGATGATTGAAATAGCAAGTTGGTTTTCAATATTTAGATTCTTTAAGCTTCCCAGATATTAAATTAATATAAGAATAAAGGTAGCCGAACCGGTTTGGCTCAGTGGATAGAGCATCGGCCTGCGGACCGAAGGGTCCCAGGTTCGATTCCGGTCAAGGGCATGTACCTTGGTTGCAGGCACATCCCCAGTGGGGGGCGTGCAGGAGGCAGCTGATCGATCTCTCTCATCGATGTTTCTGGCTCTCTATCCCTCTCCCTTCTTCTCTGTAAAAAATCAATAATAATAAAAAAAAAGAATAAAGGTAGTTATTAGGCAGAGAGGTTTTTTTAGGAAAAGAGACCTTTATCCCACCCATAGAAGTCTAAAAATAATTTACTGGAATTAAGGACAGGATTGAGTAGGGATTTCATTGAGGTAATAAAATTGACTTGGATGATAGGAACTGGGCTGTTTGGTTATGAATAGAGTCTTCAGTAGGACCTCTACTAGAAAAGGGGTTGGGAAATCAGTTAAATAGACAAGGGCCTGGATGCAGTATGGAATACTGTGCAGCAGTTAAGAGGGAGGTGAATCCCAAGCACTGGAGTTTTTGGAAAGATCCTAAGTGGGGAAAAGAAAAGCAAGTACAACCGTGTATACATACATTATGATCCTATTTGTAAATGGTTTTAAATTACATTTTTCTGTGCACATTTATGTTCATACAAAAGCATAAATAGTGTGTATCTTCTAACAAGGTCTGGAAAGGTGTACACCAAGTTCATAATCATGGTTACCACTGAGAGGGAATATGTGGATGTGAGAATTGAGGATCTATGAAAGTGGAGTTGCCGTTTTTGTTTCCTTTGCTTCTGAATATTTTAAATTCTTTAGCAGGAGAATATATTTAGGTGTTGCTTGTACAACTAAAAAATAAATGAAACACCAGAAAGGAACAGCATTGGGGACAGGTTTTTTGGGCTCTAAACTACAAAAGCAACCTCAATACCAAAATAAATTCCATCATCCATTTCAGGTTTTATACCGTGGGCTATTGCCATTTAACACACACACACACACACACACACACACACACACACACACACACACAGTGGGGGAGGAGCTTAGACGTAGTCTTCGGAGTAATTTTTACAGGTATTATTTTCAGCTGGCAGAGGCACAGCCATAGTTTCTCTTCCAGTTCTTTTAGCAAGTTACTATTTAGGGAACTTTAAATCATTTATCTCTAAAGAAGTATCACGCCATTGCTTTTATACTATCTCATTCAGGAAGCTTTGGAGAGGGAACTGTAGACCAGGAGGGAAAACAAAATGGTAAACAGATTAAGGTTCAGCTTATTATATGTCTCTTGTATTGGTATCTTTTTCCTGGGGAATTTTCCTTGCTCTGTAGCTCTGGATGAAATCAATCAGCAGACATATATTCTATGTTAATGGCAAAACCTGGCATTTGGGGTTTCGGCTAGGAGAGTTAGATCTTATACCCAGTTAGCCTAGATCTGTTCTGCAGCTGTCAGTCACACCATTAACTCTAGCAAACATTTTACAAATGTAAAACAATGTACATCCAGTAAAAGACAACTTAGGTGGGTCATTGCAAATCTATCACTACATTTTAAGTACCTTAAATATCAACTCAATTTTTATATCCTTATCTTAACAGCAGTTTTCTAGTTAAGTGAAGATTACAGATATGCAAGGGAACATTAGAACACTCTTAAACTCTTCCCATGCATTCCATATTAACAGCTATTAACATTTAACAGAGAAAAAGAACAAGGAAGGCAAATTGGACAAGAGAGAAGAAAAAGTAAGGAGTTCTAGATATAATGTACATTGAATAGGGAGTAAAGCAGCAGATGTAGAAAAAGAATTTTTAAAGAATTCTTTATATAGAAAAATTTAAGAGCAGCTGGTATTGAGTTTTAAGATCAGAGTATCCCCATTTTAAAGCAAATGGTAATTTAAAAATTGATAAGAAAAACAATTAGAATAACAGAATCCTTGCTTTTGTCAAATCTTGGGGATTTCAGATGTCTAGGTTGAGAAGGGAAGATAGTTCATTTCTTTCTCACATTCCTCATTCTTTAGTCTACCAGGAAGTCCCTGAAGATTTCTTTTTATAACAAGCAGTGTCATTCTAAAAACAAATGAAGCCCTAGCCGGTTTGGCCCAGTAGATAGAGCATCGGCCCGCCGACTGAAGGATCCCTAGTTCGATTATGGCCAAGGGCACATGCCCGGATTGCGGGCTGGATCCCCAGTGGGGGGTGTGCAAGAGGCACCGATCAATGATTCTCTCTCATCATTGATGTTTCTATCTCTCTCTCCCTCTCCCTTCCTCTCTGAAATCAATCAAAAAATAACAATTTTTTTTTAGCAGACTTAGGATTCATCTGGGCTCTGGACCACTAAATCTAAAATTGTGGCATTTAAATGAGCAAACCAGAATTCTCTAATTTTGTAGTCTGGGTTAATTATCTTAATGCTATAGTTATGCCTACTCTCTCATTCCTGTGCATTCCCTATTGGGAACTTGGTTTTTCTTCTAAAAACACATTTGACTAATATTTTGACTCACACTTACTATGCTAATAATATTGTTTATTTCATAGACATGATTGGAAGGGTAAAGTACTTAATTAAAGTCAGAAATCTTGCGAAAATAGTATATCTTACTTTATAGCCTACCACATTATAATACTTCTGAGGTTTTCATCAAAATTAAAGTATAAAAAAGTCTGAGATGGAAACATAAACATTTGTAGGGAAGGGAAGAAGTGCTCACTTTAGAATGATCGAAGAGTTTTTAAGTTTGGTGAAATATTTTAAAAGACTCGTTGTCTTGTGTTCTTGACCAGAGCGATTTTTTCAGGGAGTGGGTTCATGATTCCTTTCTTTTCCAGATTGCAAAAGTTGAGAAGCTCAAACCTTTAGAGGTAGAGCTACGACGTCTAGAAGACCTGTCAGAATCTATCGTTAATGATTTTGCCTACATGAAGAAGCGAGAGGAGGAGATGCGCGATACCAATGGTGAGGGGAGGGCAGCTCTTGTTTCTCAATAAGAGAACCATAAAGGAATCAGATCACCAGACTTTAAATTCTGGTGTACCCTTTTCTCCGTTTTGCCAAGGGTGGGGAGAGGGGTGGTGTGTGGAAAGGTAATTGCTAACTTCAGTGTTGCTGCTACAGGTAAATGAGCCTTGTTAGATTTTCAAGGAAATAGAAATCACTTCCATATGTAGTTGACCATATTCTCAGTTTGCTTACCATGTATCAAATTGATAGGACTAATCTTTGCAAATTTTAACATTTATATATAGAATAATGAAAATTTAAGAAAAAGCTAACTGAAATCCTACTTTTAGGCCTAGGGACAAAGTGAAGTTAATTAATTGCCTTTCCTCCCTGGCCATCGTTTAGCCTGCTGAGCCTCATTTCATTACATTTACAATGTTTTTGTTTTGATTTTTTTAGAATCAACAAACACTCGGGTCCTATACTTCAGCATCTTTTCAATGTTCTGTCTCATTGGACTAGCCACTTGGCAGGTCTTCTACCTTCGCCGCTTCTTCAAGGCCAAGAAGTTGATTGAGTAATAAGGCCTACTCTCCTCCCACCTTGTATCTCAGCCAGCAGAACATCACTGGGACGTGCCTGGCCTAAGGCACCCTATCAACAGCACCATAAAGGCACGTTGGAACTTCTTGCCAGAACTGATGTCTCTTGGTGTGGGAGGACATGGGTTACCACCTACACCCAACAAGTCATTGAGGGACTTCTTTTTAACTTGATAGGATTTGGACTGGTTTTGCAACAATAGGACTTAATAGAGTCACCTGTGACAAAAAATAGGGGTTACCTAGATAATGCCAAAGCCAGCATTTGTACTGGGTTTCCTCATGTGATCTGTTTAAACCATGTTTTCTTTCCTTCTCCCACTTGCTCACCAGCTCGGGCTTCCACTCTACTTCCTTTACCAAGATTTGAATGACCATGTGAAACTTGTTTTATTCTCATTGTCCTCTTTGGATTTCTGTGTGAAAACATCCTTAACTTTATCTTAACCATTAGCTGAAATGTTTAGGTAGCTTCTGGAGGTATCCTTTCTTAATTTTATGTCTCATAAAAGGGTGATGGATGTGACACCTCATAGAAATGAGCTTTGAACTATAGATAACTCTTTTTAAAATTTTTCATTTTAGAGAATTAAAACATTTGTGCTCAACTGCTTGAATTTCCTTTTTGTGTAGTTATGTGTGTTTAGTTCTATGCAGTTTTATTACATATGTAAATTCATGTGACCACCATCACAAAATGCAAAACAGTTCCCTCACAGGGATCCCTTGCTACCCTTTTATAGCTACAGCCACCTCCCTTCCTTACTCCCAAGCCCCAACCTCTGGCAACCACTAATCTGTTCTCCATCTCTCTAATTTTGTCATTTCAAGAATGTTATATAAATCAGCGGTCACCAACCTTTCGGACCTCACGGACCACCAGTGGTCCGAGGACCACCGGTTGGCAGCTGCTGATATAAATGGAATTATATAGTATGTAATCTTTCCAGATTAACTTTTTTGTTTGTTTTTTTCCTCACCTGAGGATATTTTTTCCAATGATTTTAGAGAGCATGGAAGGGATGGAAGGAGGGGGAAAGAGAGAAACATTGATGTGAGTGAGACACCTCGATTGGTTGCCTCCCACATGTGCCCCAACTGGGGCCAGGGATCAAACCTGCGACCCAGGTACATGCCCTTGACCAGGAATCAAACCCACAACCCTTCGTGCGTGGGCTGACATTCTAACCATTGAGCGATACCAGCCAGGGTGAGATTAACTTTTTTCACTCAGCATAATGCCCTTAATGTCCATGCAAGTTGTTGCATGGATCAATAGTTGGTTCCTTTTTATTGTGTAGTAGTATTTCATGGTATTGATGTACCACAGTTTGTTTATCCATTTACCCATTGAAGGACATCGGGGTCATTTTCAGTTTTTGGCCATTACTAATCTTCTGTGAACATTCATGTACAGGTTTTTATGTGAACATAAATTTTCATTTCTCTGCGATAAATGCTCTCGAGGGCAATCCTGGGTTGTATGGTAAGCATGTTTAATTTTTTTAAGAAACCACCCTACTCTTTTTCTAGAGTGAGTACCATTTTATTTATGTTCCCACCAGCAATGTATGACCAATCAGGTTTCTCCACATCCTCACTGGTATTTGCTGTTATTTTTATTTTAGTCATTCTGATAAATGTATGTAATGAGACCTCATTATGATTTTACTTGCATTTTTCTAATGGCTAATGATGTTGGACATCTTTTCATGAGCTTATTTGCCATATATATCTTCCTCAGTGAAATATCTGTTCGTGTTCTTTGCCCATTTTCTAATTAGATTATTCTTTATACTAATGACTTTTGAGCATTCCTTATATAGCCTACATATGGCTCCTTTGTCAGATATGTGGTTGCTTGAATTTTTAACATAACATGTACCAAGGAAAAAATTAGAAAATTTACCAAATCTTCTTACATGACCAGCCAGTGATTTAATCCCTGACCTTATATGTCCCCCTGAGACATATGATATATTAAAAAACAACAACACTGGAAGGATCATCATGAATACAGAAAATACTTGAGAATACATGTTGTGAAAGCAAAGCCAAGAATCACTATGCGTATGAGGTACCTAAAGGCCAATACTGATATAAATAGAGAATGTGGATACAAATGACCATGTTTGTAAACAATTATGAAAAATACTATCACTTGAAATTTTCCCCACTTCTCCCAGGAAAGGAGCTAGGAGTTCATCCTTTCTGTAATCTCTTTTTAAAACCTTGCTAACAGTTGTTACAGGGCTTGTCTAATCGCAGTGGCAAGAATTACAGGACTTAGGGCCATGCAGCTTGCAGTTAAGCAGCAGCATGTTAGAATTAACAGAGAACACTGCTGTGATGACCTGGATAAAGTCCAAAGATGGAAGAGGGAGTGAGTTATGTTGTTAAAATCTCAGGCAGTTCTGTTAATATTTCAGCTATTGTGAACCCAAAAACCTCCCCCCCCCCCTCCCCTTTGACTCCATGTATGTATGAATTTCTCTGGTGTGGCATAAAAGTGGTTCATTAATTTGTGCAACATCGCCATCTGCTGTTAAGTAGTGATAGGAACTACTTTTGAGGACCTGGCAGCGGAATCCTTGTCATAAAGGCAGCAGATGTAGAGAAAATCTGTGATATTACATTACTAAACGACAGAAGATACATCCAAGTGAAGAGAATGACCAAATTTGTGGGTTAAGATTTCCTTAGACGTTTAAAGGTGAAGTTTTATACCATTGGTCTAATAAGATATGCTTTCATATTTCTGACTGGTGCCTTTCCTCTTTTTACAAGCAATGAAAGCTACTTGGTTATAGTACTCTGCTCTGACAAAATATCAAAGAAAATAGAATAGGCAAATATTTGATTTTGCTGATGTTTTTGTTCCCAAATGTGATTTATGAAACTAAAATTCTTTCATGTCCTTTCCTTTTACTCATGCCAAAACTACCAACGAGAACATTTGTATTTTTGGTTTAAAGTTCATTGGTATTACACCTTGATGTTATCAAAAAAGTAAATTTATTTGCCTTCGATAAAAGGCTAGTGCAAGAGCAAATTAGATTTTAAAATGAGGATGTTATCTGTTTTCTCCGTTTTGAACCTATTTTTCAACAGGTTGTATAAAATATAGATGAGAGTGATGTGGTTTAAGTAAGCTTTGTTACACCATTGTCATAAGCCATTTTTCTGTTTGTTGAGTGGAAAGAAGCATGCTGGATTTATACAGATTCACTTGTGTTGGATGGGGATTTTTGTGTAAATTTTCTCAAATAAAGGCTAGCAGAAACCATTGTAGGTGTATTTTTCTGCTGTTACTCTTGAGTACCTCTTTGTTTGGATTGGCAGTATTCCTCCACATTCCTTAGTTTTAACATATGGCAAGTTATATGTGATAAAGTAAAGAAAAAATATAATTATCCATAATTTACTCCAGTTTATGTGAGCTAGCAAAAGTTTATTATATTTTATATATAAATTATAAATGTATATGAAAATAATTATACATCTTCAGAAAGACCAAATAGGGTTCTGAAAGCCAGGCATTCTCTCTTTTAGAAACTGCTACTGGAATTAATTCCTTTAGAGTAGGAGTGGGGAACCTTTATTCTGCCAAGAGCCATTTGGATTTTTTTTGTTTGTTTATTTTTTTGTTTTCTTGTTTTTGTTTTTTTTAATATAATTTTGATTTTTTACAGAGAGCAAGGGAGAGAGATAGTTAGAAACATCGATCAGCTGCCTCCTGCACATCCCCCACTGGGGATGTGCCCGCAACCCAGGTACATGCCCCTGACCAGAATCGAACCCGGGACCCTTCACTCCGCAGGCCGAAGCTCCATCCACTGAGCCAAACCGGTTTCGGCCGGCCATTTGGATTTTTAAAAATATGTTTTTATTGATTTCAGAGAGGAAGGGAGAGGGAGAGAGAGAGAAACATCAATGATGAGAGAGAATCATTGATCAGCTGCCTCCTGCAAGCCCTCCACTGGAGATCAAGCCCGTAACCTAGGCATGTGCCCTGACCAGAAATCGAACTGTGACCTCCTGGTTCATAGGTCGATGCATAACCACTGAGCTACACCGTCTGGGCCCATTTGGATATAACATCATTCAAGGGCCATACAAAATTATCAATGTAAAAACTAGCCTGCTATATTTTATCAAATATTTAATTAACTCACCCCTAATGCCTTGGCAGAGCCAAAACAAATGATTTCACAGGCCTTATATGGCCCATGGGCTGGATGTTCCCACCCCTGCTATAGAGAACCTTCACCTTGCCCTCCTTCCTTAAAATACCTCTCCTATTTAGAACCCCTCAGAACTTGCTTATTTTGGCCCATCACATCTATGCAAAACCTCACTCCAGCAAGTAAAGGCCATTTTCTCCTTTTATTTGCAGTTGAACATCTATAATAATAAAATTGTAATATGCTAATTAGACCGGACGGCTGAACAGTGGAACGACCATCGGGACAACCTTCAGGACGAAGCCGGGGCTGCAAGGGCCGAGCCCCTTGCAAGAATTCCGTGTATCGGGCCTCTAGGTTTTCATAAAGCTTCTTTCCAAGAGCAACCTGAAGTGCTTTGCATGCTCACTGGCTGACCCTCCACTTCCAGTACCCAGAAAAATGGGTAATTTGCCAGTGAGTTTATACAAAGTAGTGGTTCCCAATATCTGAGTATAAGTAATTTAACATCAGAAATGTCTTCTTTCTCACTGAAGTTTTACTTTTAGAGAACATAATACATACAGCAGACCTTATCAACGAATTTAAATTTAATAGTCTGAAAAGTATCATATACTTGTTAAATGGTAGTACTTTTTGCAAATTATTCACTCTGCTACAGTGGTGTCCCACATGAGCCCCATGTATAATTTTAAATTTGTAGTGCCCCATTAAAAAAGTAAAATTAATGTGTTTAGTTTAATATATCCAAACTAGCATTTTATTTATTTATTTTTTAAATATATTTTATTGATTTTTTACAGAGAGGAAGGGAGAGAGACAGAGAGTCAGAAACATCGATGAGAGAGAAACATCGATCAGCCGCCTCCAACCCAGGTACATGCCCTTGACCGGAATCGAACCCGGGACCTTTCAGTCTGCAGGCTGACGCTCTATCCACTGAGCCAAACCGGTTTCGGCATAAACTAGCATTTTAATGTGTAGTCAATATTAAGATGATAAATGAGATATATTATTTTTTCATATAAAATCTTTGAAATCCAGTATGCATTTGATAGCTACAGCACTTCTCCATTCAGACTAGTCCTACTTCAGGTGTCCAATGGCTGCATGTAGCTAGTGGCTGTCATATCAGATCATGGAGGTATAGATTTTGCTTGGTACTTTGGTAGATCCTTTATTCTTTTTTTTTCGTTAATCTTTACAGTAACTCTGTGGCCCCTGGGGGTCTGCATTCATAAGTGAGAACTTCTGCTATATAGCATCCTAACTGTTCACTTGTTAAAATATAACATGGAAATACCTGTTTTTGACCAAAGGCACTTTAAAATCAGTTATACCTTTAGAATGTTGAGTTTTTCTGGACTTATGAATATTCAAAGGTCAGATAACTTAGTTTTATTTATACCCATTTTGAAGAAGAAATGAGCATGAGTGCTTACATTTGTCTGTTAAGCTTATATTAGTGCATTATAAGTAGAACAATGCATAATATCAAGCTAACCAAATTATAGAAATTATCATTGCAGAGATGCCAGAAAAATGAAGCTTTAAGCTTTGGCTGAACCCTATTCAGTTTCTCTAAAGTGAAAGTCAACACTTCTGGTTTTAAGTGATTTTTTTTCCCATTCTTTTTACTCAAGAAGACATTTATTGAATATCCTGTTTAATGTGTTAAGCTAAACTCTGGAGTAGACTCAATAAATAAGCAATACCCATCCTCAAAGTGCCTTCTAATTAATAGGAGGTGGTAATTGGGATGGTCTCTACCCAGAATTATTTTACTACTTTGCTTAGCCAATACTGACAGGAAGCCTTCACTAACCCATTAAGTTTGTCTTGGAAAAATGCCCCTTCTAATGCCTTTCTAGAAGTCTTACAACACTATCACTTATATACAGTTATCCTTATAATTACTTCATTATCTGTCTGGTACATGGACTGTGAGACCATGTTTATTTTGTTCTCTCTTGTAACCCATCATCTGGCACAAGTTGGTACTCAGTGTTTGTTGAATGAATAAACTGAAAATTCAAAAAATATCTGTATAATAAAGAATTCTGGAATGGAACCAACAAAATAAAATGTAATGGGTTATCAGTCAGTCTTGCACTTAGGTTAAAAAATGTTATATGAATACAAGACAATAGCGACATGATACTCAACAAATAATTTTTAAGCCTATATTATCAAGCACTTTTCGAGGCACTGATGGTATATAGCTGTGGACAAGAGTGCAAAATCCTTTCATGGAGCTTATATTCTAATGAATGAAGATAGCCAATAAAGTAAACATAATAAACAAGACATCAATATTTTATAGATAAGTATTGTGAAGAAAATAAGGAGTGATGTGATCTGGTGGGAGGGCTGTGGTGCTTTATGTATTTTTTTTTTGTTAACCCTCACCTGAGAATATTTTTTTCTCCCTTGATTTTTAGAGAGAGTGGAAGGGAGGGAGAGAGACCGAGAGAAACATCAATGTGAGAGAACCAATTGGTTGCCTCTGGCAGGCATTCCAACCTCGGCCAGGGATCGAGCCTACAACTGAGGGACATGCCCTTGACTAGAATCAAACCTGAGACCCTTCAGTACACGGGCCAATGGTCTAACCATGGAGCTGTGCTACTTTAGATTGACTGGATATGAAAAAGGTTTAGTTAAGTGCAAGCACAGTGTAAGCAAATCATCATTATAAAGGCTGGTACGCTAATAGAACAGAAACATTGGATCTAGGTCAAAGGAGACAGAAGACCCCTTTACTTTCCTATTCAGGCCCAATGCTATGCAGAGTGTAGGGTACTTTAAAAGGAATGTTGATGAACTGTAGAGGTCAGAGGAATGTGAAATGATTAGTTAGCCCTCACCCCATTATACCAATTTTCTTCCTCTAATTTTTTAAAAATATATTTTATTGATTTCTTTTTACAGAGAGGAAGGGAGAGGGATAGTTAGGAGCATTGATGAGAGAGAAACATCGACCAGCTGCCTCCTGCACCCTCCCCCCCCTGCCCCCCAGTGGGGATTTGCCTGCAACCAAGGTACATGCCCTTGACCGGAATCGAACCTGGGATCCTTCAGTCTGCAGGCCGATGCTCTATCCACTGAGACAAACAGGTTGGAGCTTCTTCCTCTAATTCGCTGTCACTATCACTATCACCTAGTTAAAAACCTGGAAGTGTCTCCTGGACTCTCACATTTACCTCAACAACCATATCCCTCCTGACTGAT